TTATTATTACTAAATTACTGGATATTTTATTTATTATTAAATTATTATTTTTGAAAATTAATTGTTGGAAATTATTAACTTTTCGATTGACACTATAGAATGGAATTCCTAGGGCTTCCTTAGTTGTTCTAATGACACAGAAGTAAGACTGATAAAATCATTCTTCTGCGACCATGACGCAGGGATTCTGGTGTTCGCAGAACACATCTCAGTATATCAAGTGCTGTAGATACAGTGCAGTCATACTCTATCAGACCACAAGTATTAAGTGAAATAAAATAACAGTTTGATGTTGTTGCAGTCATGTTATATTGGTTTTAAGAAACATGCAAGTTGTGAATGCCGCAGTAGTAATGGTAGTACTTTTCTCTATTAACCCTTATGAGGCCTGAGAGGATGGTGTTACGGTTGATGTGACTTTCATGGTTTTACAGTTATGTCACTGCAAGTTTGGTGATGGTTGGCAAGGATGTTAGTCATCAATTAGAGTTCAAGTTTAGTGATATTGGATATGGTTAATTTATTGGGATATTGCAGTGAAACAATTGTAATTGTAGTACTTTAATAAGGTCCACTTGCTGCCCAGTGCTCGTGCTTACTTACATCCATCTTTGCAGTATTCTACAATATAACCATCTAATCCCCCAGCTCCAATTCGCTCAGGGGGTCTCCACTTCAAGGCAACAGTGCTGTCAGAAACATCTTCCACTGTGAAGTGGGTTGGTTCACTTGGAGGAGCTGTAAGGAAATACACAGAAGTAAATTCTGAAAAAATAGCACTATAACTGTGAGAATTCAAAGGCTACAAGAGGAGTGATGAGCAGCTGAATTATGTTTTAATATAACTAATTTAGCTGAAGCTCACCTGTAAAATGGAATACCTACTACTTATATTAAATGAAGTGCAGAGTAAGGTTCCTGTAATAGGGGTGGGAAAAAGTGGTTAAGATAGTAGTTTCTGTTCACATGCTTCCTTCTGAGTAAAAGGTGATGAAAAAAGAAGAGTCACAGAAGGGAGACAGATTATCAGCAAAAGTCCACAGAAAAGTTTAGTAATAAAAACACAGACAACTTGTATGCTGTACTTCGACAAAAGTTACACTGAGGAGCAAATTCATCAGTGACTAAAGCTGACTTCACTCATTTTCCTCTAACAGCAGAGAAAATGACCAAAAGTTATGACTAAATGTTTACAGAAGCACTAGTTTTGATTTGTACATCTGTAATAGAGCCTTGCCTGAGAAAAATATTTTGGGGCTGAAGAGTTTCCCCTTCGGTTAAATATAGCTACTCCCTATCTTTTCAGAACAGGAGTGTTATGGTTCTTTTAAAATCCATAGTTCAGAAAGACCACTGGCTAAATTCAGTCTTCTTAAGCATGAATGTTGTCTACTAATTAAAAAACAATCAAGAAAAGACCTGACTGGAGGATCCCAAACACGCACAAATGCTACTGTGAAATCATTGATTCAGAAAACCAGACAGAAATATAACTTCTTCAAATAATGTTTAGACTGCTGAACGTAAAATTAAAGAAATGAATGTTTGGCATACTCTGTGTAGATGTATTCTAAACTGAAGGTCTTTCGAATATAGGTAAACAGATTTTTACATATTAGAAATATTTTATATACAAAGCAACTTAAATATAGGTTTGTAAATTGTGGAACTGACTGAAATTGATCTTAGCTCCCAAAGTAAATGTAAAATAAAAACCAATCACCCCATTTCCTTTCTCTTGCTGTGTCAATTTTTCATATTCAAGTAGCAGCAAGGACTGTGAACAGCATGCAGGAGGCGAAGGCAGTTGGGAGCATACCCAGCCACATGGTACACAATCAAAACCCCAAACCTCTTCTCTGATGTGCTAGGTGGGAACTTCATCCTTAATCAAGTAAAACGCTGCCTAGACCGTGAAAACTTCGGACCTTTCTTTTCAGTAGCTCTACTTGATGCGTTTCTTTTGCCGCCTTCTGTCGCAGACCAGCTGTTGTGTGTTGGAAATCCAGAATTAAGAGACTCTCCTTGAAGTTCATGCTTTCTTTTGGGCCCCTTGGCTGCATCATCTGCTTTTATATTATCTCCTTCAGCAGGCTGTCCCCCTTCACTGATACTTGTAGATTTAGCAATTCTGGTCATTTTAATCTCCAGCTATTTTTCTTTCTTGTGGGTCTTTCTAAAGCTCCTAGTAGTCAGGCTTCCCAAGGACTCCTCTAGTTTGCTCCTTGCTCAGGGACTGCAGGAGCTGTGTGTGGAAGGATTATTTATAGAAAATCCTTCCTCAAATATTATCTTAATCAGCTGTCCTTTTAGCTGTGGAGAGGGCCAGGATTAAGGGAGTACTGGGTGGGATATTGTGATATTTGCACCCATAAGGGAATGGGGGAAGCTGAGAGGGACAGGGAAATTTCTGTCAATTAGTTTTCCTGCTTTCCAGATCCAGCTTGAATCTTGCACTTCTAATTATAACAACTAAAAATTCATCAGCAATTTCATGAAACTGGAACCCCCCTGCTTCTCAGGAAGGCGAGCGAGAGACAGAGGAGGGGAAGATTACAATGGGAAAGCTTGATTAAATATAGAATATAGAGATAGTTACTAGCTTGTTTCCTATCACATTCTTTTCGGTGTAAGGACAGGTAAAGAGAAGAGGTGACGATTGCCCTGTCTTGGTTTTGTCCTAGAAATAATAGTGTGATAAAACTCACCAATTGGCATGAAGGGTTGTGAGGCAGGGCTTGGCCGGGACATGCCAATAGAATTCACAGCATAAATCCGCATCTCATAAACTACTCCTTCAATCATCCGCTTGGCTTCATAGGTTAGCTCTTTTAAAAGGTCAAAGTTCAGTCTCATCCATCGATAGCTCTTCTTCTTCTTTCTCTCTAAAATATAGCCTGTAAAGGATAGTTTTTATGATGTGAAAGAACTGCAAGTTATTATATCACATGCACGAAAAAGAAAATCTCTTTCTTTTTTTTATTCCCCAATGTCATAAAAGAGCCGTATGTGATTTAGAATTATTGCATATAACTAAATTGTGTGAAGCTTTGGTATTTTTCTCCATTTTCCTTTTGTATTACTTTTCTTCCATATGACATTCTCATCTAAACAACTATACTTCTCAGAATAGAAGTTATTTAGAATTGTCTATGTCTGGTGCTGGGGCTGTAAGCATATTTTGCATGCTATACACTACTATTAAAGTATTTAGATGTATCCAAAATAGAGATGCAAATGGAGCTGTTTTAAATGATAAATCCTTTCAGATGAGAATGTGATTATTTGCTCCTAACAACAGAAAAATGCGTGAGGTAACAGGAGTTCAACAGAAAGCCCCTTCAGTGAAGGAGAAATTGCCTTGAAATATGTAAGATGAGACAGTATTAAACCTGTCTTCTACTCCGCTGCAGTTCACTAATCTTGACTAACAGCATAAATCCCAATGCAAAAAAAAATGGTTGGAAGAACAATTTGATAAATTATTTTTCAAAAAAACCCAGAGACTTGACGTGTCTATTGCTGAGTGGTAGAATTGTGGAGTGCCTCCCAGGCAGCATAGATCCTAGCTCTGCTTCACCTTATAGTGGAGCGAGTCCCAGGCATGCACCACTTTTCTTGCCACGATTCCCTTGGGAAGGAAAGCAAACCCTGTATGATTACAGAGAACCAAGAGAGCTGGACACACTGCAGAACAAATCTGTCGGGCAGGTTCCATGTAGTCTATACACACAGAATCCAGGTGTTTGGTACATCTCCCCCACCCCCTCAACATCCACAGCCTTTCCAATGCTACTATGCTGGTTTTCAGAATAACTGACTTAGGTTGGGTTATCTGCTTATCTTTTAAACTTCCAATTCCCCAAAACTGGGAATGAAATCTGTGATTCTTCATCCTTAGTACAGAGGATGCTGTTTCTCTATATTGTCGATGGCATGCCTGGTTAATTGATGCTCACAGACTTCTTTTAAACTTATTTTGTTTTGAAAGCTATTGATCTTTTAACTAAGGAGTGAATAATCAGAAAATACACTGAGTAATGATTTACACATAACCTGTATTTGTATGTATTGTGTGTTTGTTTCTACCCATACGCTACAGAGGATAGGTATGTCTGTAACACTGGTCAGCAGCAGTGGTGTAAGTCTGTAGGAGACACTTCCTAAAGACTCATGAATTGAGTGCCGTAGGTCAGTACTTCAGTCCCCACTGCTCACAAAGGTGGTTGGGATCAAACATTCAGATGTCCCTTCAGTCTACCTGGGAAATATGATTAACATTCACAGTGTCTAAATGGAAATGGAGAAAAACTGATGTGTTATGGGCACCAACACTGTGTGTCAGAAGCCTTGCCTATTGAGGTTGAATTGCAAGAAGGGAACGGGCATCTACAGGATATTTTGGGAATGAGTGGTGGAGGTACCTTTTGAGCTGACAGGCTATATCATCACCTCTAATGTATAAAGTGATTCCTGGCATGCTTGTTTCAGGTAGTTTTTAAACAAGCTTAAAAGCTCTAAGCAAAGAACTTATGTCAGAACTGAGACACTTCTTCACTGTGGCGTATCAGAATTGCAATTGGAAAGAGGAGAGGGTAAGAAAGAGGTGAAAATACTGACACTGTAGGTGCCATTTGGTAAAACAGATTATTTCCCCAATGCACAGAATGTATGATAGATAAAACTACTGCTTTAGTAGTATAAAAATTACACGAGACCTTATGAAAGGTTTGTGTAATGGTAAAGATGGTGAGAATTCCTATGTCTCTTGGATATAGCTAATAAAACTGCAATGCTTACAATACCTACAATGTCATCTGTAACAATATGAAGACTGATAAGAATGTGTATGTCTCTTTCTCTCTACCTTTTAAATTGCTTTTAAAACTTTCTTTGAATGGATAGTGCTAGGTCTTGCCATTTTTTTCCCCCAGTTGTTTTATTTTAGCTCTGTTAATAGTACAGTTCTGTGCTAACTAAGGAAACCTCTGTGTATAGTGCAAAGAGTTGTTAGTGGAACATTAACAAAATCTTTCCTTGGACATTGAAAACAGACCAAAAAAACTTTCCAAAATACGTGTCCTGAAAACTAAAAATCAAATTATGGGCTTTGTGTAGCTGAGGAGGGGGAGTTGACTGTGGTAACGGGACAGCTGTTGGCATATATCTTTGCACATAATAGCTTAAGTTGCTAACTTCTTGCTTCCTGTCAGAACAGATGAAACTACAGAGGACTGGCCTAGTAGGATATTCCTACACGTAACTTCTGTTGAGTTAAATGAGGTTCCTCTATTCTTGTAGAAGTGAATGAAATCCAAATATTCAAAAGCAAATCTCTTGCAGATACTATGCAGAGGGTTAAAAGAATTTTAGAACATTTCTAGCCCTGGCATCCCCATGGGGCTTAATATAGCTTTCAGCATATTTTTTAAAAAACCAAACCCAACTTTCTCCAGAAAACTCACCTTGAACTCCAGTGATCCTTACTAAACAAGGTGCTGGATTTGGAGTCCAGAGGAATTTTTCCTGAAAATTGGCTAATAATCTGTATTACTTTCACTTCCTTCAGAGGATCCCAGGGAGATCTACCTAACAAGCACCATGCTCTGCAGAAAACTTAAAATGGTATTGGTGATAACCCTTGCTCTCATCTGCTCATTTCCTGCATTGCATGATAATTTTGACCTCTAGGTTTTTAGTACACTTAAAGTCATTATAATGATTGAAAAATGTTATGTGACCTGTGGTGTGTGGTTTTATAGGAAGTAGAATTATGAAGGAGTTTTGGAAATGAAACACGTGTTGCATGGACTTCATGACTGAGGTGCCCAGAGATCTATTTGGGGATTCGTAGAGAAGTCCAAAGGACTGTGTACTGACCTGAAATTTTAGTCTTGTGCTCTGGCAACTTATTCACTGAAACGTCTCTGGTTCAGATGGCACAGTTAGAGGGCACTCTCTCCCTAGAATTGGACAGCCAGAATCCAGACCAGTTTGAAAGTTAAATGTATTAGTTAGGTTTTATGGGTCAAGTGTCCTAGAGTGAATAAACCTCTGTGCTATGTGAAAGGAGCCACAAAAAATATAGGCTAAGCTGCTGGAGACTTCATATTTTAGCACTTCTTACCAAGTACTGGTTGCCCGCCGTCGTATTTAGGGGGTTGCCACTGCACGGTACAGTAATCTTCTCCAATGTTGCTGATCTTGGGAGCTTCTGGAGGGTCAGGGACATCTGAAGAAAGTGTGAGAATGAAAGAGAATTGTTACTGTTTCAGTATTTCTATACAAATAAATGAAATATTTTTCTTTAACCTTTTTTCAATAGTGTATTGACATAGATTTGTCAGATAACAGCAGCAGGTACAACTGAGACTGTATTATCTTAGCCTAAAGGGAATCCTGTTCTTTGCTTCTGTGCTAGGTTGGTTTTCCGTTAAATACCATTGATTATTTAGCTCCCTTGTTCTTCCCAAACACAATCAACTTTTTGCAAAGGTGTAAGATTACAAGGTAAATTGTTCTGTAAGAGGAGGCTTGCTCCAGAGTTTCCTGTTTTTTTTCTAGAATAAATTTTATACAGAATACAATGGCTGCATGTCTCTCTTATTTTATTTTGGAGCTATTGATAGTAAATATCTTGATTTAGGATTTATAAAATATGAAAAAATCACCCTAGTATTCTCCTAAGCAGTGAATACTTAATTTTAATACTGTAGGTGATAGTAATTTTCTTTTATAGTTTCTAAGTTTGCTTTTATGAAGAAACTATTAAATGTAATTTATAAAAATTACAGACTCAAAACCATATTCCCCCCAGCTCTTCTGTGGCTCATAGTGCCAATCTGTTTATCTTGTATCAGATGTCTATGTCTCGTTTGTCCATTAACCATTTTCTGCTTATGGACTGAAGTAATCTTGCTTAAAAACACAAACCACAACAAAATGCCAAGAAGTTTCTCTTATCTCAGAAGCACATATCTCAGAATGGAATTTCATCTATAAAATGATAGGGTCACATGAGACTGGAAAACTATAAAAAGAAAATATGGGGTTTTCTACTGGAAGTTTTTTCTTACCTCTTCACACAGAAGGTAACTACCTGTGAAAAACAGTCCAGCTAGTTTTTGTGATTGCTAGAATTCCTGCCTTATGATCCTTTTCTGTTTGTCTAGACCTAAAGTCAGAACTTGGCTGCTTTTAGAGAAGGGTGAGTTTCAGTGAACTCGGTGTTTTCCTGCTTTGGTTGTTTCCTTTCTTCGCTTACCAATAACTTTGACTGTGATATCAGCCTTATCTTCTCCCACTGGATTCTTAACTATAACTCTGTATACTCCTTCATCCTCCTTCTCTGCTCCTTCAATGATGAAGACACAGTGGTCTTCATGCTTCTCCACACGAACTCTGCCTTCAGATTCAAACAGAAGCTGTGGGCAGTGAAAGCAACAGGTAAAGTCATTGTAAGTTTTACCAGAGGCAGCCCAATGAGCCGGGGTAAGCTGGTGAACATCATCAAATTATTGAATATTACTAAAATTATTGCAAACTTATAAAGATTTTCAAGTTTATTTTTATGTAGAAGAGAGAAAACATGCACTAAGTGGCTCACATAAATAACGTTTGGGAAAATTGGTTCTGAAAGACTACAGGTAGTTAAGGTTCATTGCTAGTTACGCATACCCAGCTGAGTTTCAAAAAAGTTACTAGGTACTTCCACAAATTTTGACTTGGGATAGCTGTTAGTATTGATGGAAAGAGGTTAAGGGATAACCCTTGGGTCCTATGTAAATTCAAGAAGGTTTTCAAATTCAAATGCGAACGGTTGAGCAAACATTCCTGATCAGCAGTATCTACGTTTGGCATCAGATAACATGGATTTGAACAATTTCCCTTTAAAAATTAAAAAGGGCACATTTCTTGTGACTCGTAACGTGTGATTTCTGTCAGTCATTTTCGTATGAGGTAAACTGCTACTCTTCTCTGAGCTGAGGGCTAAACATAAGGATCACAACTTTGCTGCAGATTTATAGAACACTCCTTTTATGTGCCTATGTGTCTTTAGACTTCTAGAGTAGGAACCATTAGAAAGTGTACGTGCTTGACTAGTGACTAGCACAGCAGAATCCTAACACTAAGAAAGGTTTATTATTGTGTAATATGTGTAAAATATTTCTAATGCTAGCCAAATAGAGGTCATTTATGACAAAAAAAAAAAAAGGAAACTTGTTGGAAAATGAATCCTCTTTCACTGTTTTATACTTACATAGTCCACTCTTCTGAGCCACTGTCATCTCTCCCTGGCTTCTAAGATTTTGTCCTAGTTTTTTTTCCTCTAGATATTTTTGAAGCTTACAGGTTATTGGTGGGGGAGGAAGGGAAGAATAAACCTTCACAAATATGTTAAAAGGAGTTTTCAAATAACTGCTCTGATTCCTCTGATATTGGGCTTGATCTGCTATTTGATTCACTAGTTTTAGTATTTACTGACTCTCTCTCCTGAACAAGACCTTTTATTTAAAGAACACTATTGTGTGCCTGCATAAGTAATAAGGAACTTACCTTATTATCACTGGTGTTTTCTGAGGGAGTTGTGGAATCCTCATTGCTCTGAACAAGGTCACTTTTCTAGATAAGCAGAGAAAACACAGAAAGTCAATTAAATCTTGCTGAGAAACAGGTGAAGCTCTTTCTGTAAGGCAGAGGAGGAGAGTCCATAGGCTTGTTAGGAAGGAATATGGAGGTGTGAGAAAAGCAAAGACGGGCAGCAAGCACACCCGGGAAGAAAATCAACTGATAAAGTAAAAAGCAGAAATGGAAATAGGCTGCAATGAACTAAGGGAAGGATAAGACAGAAAAAACAAATTTACAGCTTAAAGATGCGTGACATTTCTGCAATAGAACTGTAACCGCTTATGAACCTGTGTCCTGTGCTACCAGGTACAATGGAATCATAAGTTGATGTAAGCAGCACTCAGATAGAGTCAAGTCTGTGACACACATCAAAAAAAACCATTCTGAAGCCGTGCTACTCTTTAGGATTTCATTAGTAAGTATCTGTTATAGACCCTTCAGGTCAAGACCGGCTTCTTTTACTTTTATGTTGAGACCTCACGCATAAACACTATGTAGAGGTTGTCTAATACCTAATTGTTATTTTATTGGAGAAACTTGTGTATGTGAGAATCAATTTCTCTTGGTTCCCAACAGAGAGACAAACAGCTTTTTTGTTTGTTTCCATGTTAATTTTTTTTTTTTATTAAATACGCTAACCTGAACAAAGAATGTGGCAGAATCATGAGGAAATTAAATAAAATTGGCAGTGTTATTATGTCTGTATCTATAGCTATGGAAAATGTGATGATTCTGCAGAATATTATGCAAAATATTTCTGTGGGTTTTTGCTCATTATACCTCAAGCCCACAGATGGTAAGGTGTGGAGATGTTCTGAACTAGCCAGAAGGAAGCTCACTTAACATTTGGTGTCTGACTTCTAAATTCTTTCTTTGGTGTTTTGTAATTGCTTTGATAAGGCAAAGAGCAAGTGTCCTCTATTTTTGTTATACCAGATGCAGTTTTACCTCACTGGTCTGCTAAGAAGGTATTATCTTCACAAACTGTAGAGTTCTTAAGAAAGATTTAAAAAGAACCTGCCATCTCTAGAACATGTCCATCCTATCAGGTTATGGGGATGACTAATAATTTATTTCTTTTTATCTGAAGTACGAAGAGTAAATGTGTATGATATTATATTCTCTGCATGTACGTATGTCTACTCATATATTCAGTCCCTTCTTTCGGAATAGAAAAACAAGCAACAGTTAAGAAGAAGAAGAGCTCAGGATGACTCTCACAAACAGCTAAATTCCAAACAGCTGCATTGCACTTGTAACTAAGAATCGTAAATTAATGTAAGATTTGAGAAGGAAAATAAATCTCCTGTTGCAACTTCTCTGCTTCAGATGCTGTGTCAGGTTACACATTACCTGGTTTACTTTCTGCCAGATGACAGTGGGTGTTGGATCTCCTGATATGGGAACATCCAGTCTCAGTTTGTTCCCAGCCACTACGACGATAGTGTCAGGGGACTGACCCAGACAGTCAAGGTGGATTTTGGGAGGTTCTATAGCAAAGGCAGATAAAACAGTTTTTAAGTACAGTTTGAGTATTCTGTGTGGAGATTAAAAAAAAAAAAAAAGAGTGACTATCCATACATTTAAAAAATCTTTGCTTCCTTTGCTTTTGAAAACATGTTGACACTGGAACAGGTTGCTGACACTGGCACAGGCTGTCCAGAGAGGTGGCCCCATCCATGCAATTTTTTAAGGCCAGGCTGGATGGGGCTCTGAGCAGCCTGACCTAGTGGGGGATGTCCCTGCCCATGACAGGGTGGGTGGAACCACATGATCTTTAAGGTCTCTTACAACCCTGACAATTCTATGATCCTGTGTCTACTTACATTTTAATAATGACTGTTGTTCTTACCTTCTCTTGGTACAAAATCAATCTTGACCTCTGGGGGGAAAAATAAGGGGAGGGAGGAAAGAGAAATAGATTAGAAAACAGAATTTACATAACATCTGCATGCATAATGTAGTTTTAAAACTATTAATCATATACATCAATAAATTAATGCAATGTAATTAATGCATTAAATTATATAAATTAATGCAATGTAAGTCATATACATCAATAAATTAATGCAATAAACTGGAAAACAGACTCCGTAAAATGATGTGATGATAACACAAAATAAAAGGGCAAAGCAATGTGCCTATATTGAGGTGTGGGGAAAGGAATTCTGCATGCTCTTTCCAGGTATAACCATGATTAATCCCATCAATTTATCCCTCTGCAATTCCCATTGCATATTCTAAGATAACTTACCCAAAAACTGTAGCTTGGCAGAAAGGTTGTAAGCAAATCCCTGAGGGATGAAGGAATAATCAGCCTCGTCAGCTGGTGTTACATCCTCAATAGTTAGCTTATGGATTCTGGAAACATAAACAAACTCACTGAGCTCTCCAGGAGAAACAGGCCTGTCTCAAGAGACATTACTATTACTTCTCCCCTTGCCCTAACATCAAATCAACAACCTCCAGGGCTGTAGACTGCTCTGCTTTCAATATTCAAGCAAATCCATATCAACACTTTGTTTATAAATGGATTTTTCTTGACAAGATACTTAGTCTAGTCTGAATGGAGGAAGCAGTTTCTCTGTTTTAGTGCAATCCATTGCCATTACAAGGACAGTTGTAACACTGCTGACTGCTTTCATTTGATCAGATTGTGACTATGATAAACTCTGGAAAAACAAGTTAAAATTGAGGCTCCATCCCTGTGTTATTGTAAATTCAAAACAGGAATACTTTGCCTAATGCTTATGTATCTTTTGAATCTTCTTGGTCTCCTTTTCCAGTAGTAGAGTGCTAGGAAGCTTGAGTACAGAATCACACAGAAGTGCTTTCTTAACCTGTCTAAACACTGCTGCTGGTTTTTAAGTTAACAACGTGTTTTCTAGATTTTGAACACGAAGAAAATGTTAAATCCTAATAAAAACTGAGACTGAATTCTGCTGATATACCATTAATGCCACACATGCAAAACACAGCAACATGGAAGGACTGCATGCACACCGAACATAGTGCTTAGAGATCTGGTTGAGTTGAGGACTTGTTGGTATTAGGTTGATTTAAATGTCCTTTCCAATCTGGGTAGTTCTGTGTATGAGAAGGTTTTTAACTTTTTTCCTTGTAGTTGGAGCCAGTCTGGTTTTTTTTTGTTACTATCCCCTGAGATAATAGATCCCGTGGATTGTTATGCAATATCTAAACCTATACTTGCTTTCTGAAACAAGACCAACCTGCCAATATGGGAGATCTTTATCCTTTCATCTGGGACCACCTCTTTTCCGTTTTTCAGCCAGATTCCTTTCACATTTTCATCGGAAACTTCACACTTGAAGACTGCCTGGTCACGTGCCTTCACTGTCAGGTCTGCAATGCTCTGATAAACTTCCAGCTTTTTCTCTGATGTTGTGAGAAGAATTGGCACAAGATTAGCAAATCAGAATTGCTCTGTAAGTAAACAGTCGCTGTAGATTTACTGAATAGAAGAGGCAGGGGCTGAGCAAACTCTTTGTGGAGGGGTGGAATATGAAGGGAAATCCACAGCATGCAGGGCTTTAGCAGGACCAAGACCTCAGCCCCTGTTATCACCAGGGTAGCTGCTGCATCTGGCACACAGCTTCCAGTTCTCCTTGAGGCCTAAATTTATTATGGAACCTTATACCCCTTACTTAGTTGTCTATTTCCCTGGCATGAAGATTATGCTACCCTTGTGCAAGATCCTGGAGAAAGCTCCCTTCAGCTTCCCTGGTTCTGTATGCCTACCTTGTACAATTAGTTCAGCCACTGACACCCCACCATTGGTCTTCACAGTGTAATGTCCACTATCCTCCTTGGTTGACTCATTAATAATTAGATACTGCTTTTTTCCATCTTTCTTGAATCGATATTTGAATGTTTCCTCTCGTGTTAGCTCAATTCCATCCTTTTCCCTTCAATGCAAAAAAGTGTTGAGTCATTTTTTTTACAGTTGGAAGAGGAGAGTAAGTCAGCTCAGTGTTACCAGACACTAGAAGATACAAAATAAACCCAATCTCTGTAGAATTTCAAGTGAGCAAAAAAGAAACTGTTGCACAAATGTTAGTGGAACCAAAGCCAGAATGCCTCTAGCTTGACTATTAATATTCACTGGTTATTTGACTTCTGGTCCAAGAGAGTTCACTTACAAGGAATTACCTGACTCCTAGTATTTATATGCTATAGATAAACATGAAAGTATGTGGATTAAGATACACTTCAGCAGCAAATGCACTATCTTAAAAGCTTGCTGGGAAATGACTCAAAAGTCTTAACCCTCCTGCTATGAATTATAATTGCAATAAAGTCATGGTTTGTGGGCAACAGTAAAAGAAGACACAAATTGGATTTTGTAGCTCTTTAATGTCACAGTACACTTCAGACATTACTAGATTAAGCTTCACCATCCAGCTTGGGAGGAAATTTAACTATTGCAATTTCTGATCATCATGAAGGAAAATGAGCAAAAAGGACTCATGCTCTTAGGTGAAGGTCTCATAAAAATGCATAAGACTTTTACAAGATTTCCTGTTCCTAATAACAGGCTACAAGAAAGTAACTTGGAATTTCCTCAACTTACTCCTTTTGTAACATTTTACAATTTTTATTATTATTTGAATGTTTGTTGCTTGAATACTGCTGCAGCTTATAAGTGAAAAAAATTTCCTCTTTTGATACTTATTCATGTAATATGTAATATTACTCATGTAATAGAAAAAAACTTATAGAAATAGAAAAAAACTTACTCATAGAAATAGAAAAAAACAGTCATGTAATAGAAAAAATGTTATGCTTTTAATAGAGTAAGAACTTTTTTTCTACCTTGTGTTATTTGTTACCGGTTACTAATCAGCTTAACAAATGAGCTGACAGGATAGCAAACTGCAGTGCTACTTAGAGTCTTATTTAAATACTATAACTAATCACTAGGTGGATGTGTGCAAGGAAAACTTTTGCCTCTATCAGAGTCTGCTGAAGTAAATCACAAGATCAAAACTAAGCAGAAAGAGGAATCCTACAAACTGCATTTCAAAATCGCTACAGTTTACTCTCAGCTAACTGTTCTTTAGAGCACAGCTTATTGAAACTTAGAGTTGGTTTAGAAAAACACTGTCCTCCCTTCCAGATCACTGGACTACAAGACTTGTAGGGGAGGAGACAGAGGGTGCCTATTACAACTGTGTAAAACACAGCGCTTGGTGTCATGTCAGGATAATGTTTCCTCTGCTTGCTGAGTGGTGAGAGTCTGAGGCCATATGCAAGGTGCTCTCCTACAGCCAATATTCTCATTCAGGCAGATTGGTTCTGAAATAAGCGCTACAACGCAGCTCATAAACCTTTGCTGAACTACTGTCAATGGACTGTAACCAGAAGTTCAATGCACTGCTGCGGCAAAACCAGGCACGCGCACTATGGCTAGCATTCAAACCTTGAGCTTACTTAAAATTCTTTTTCGGTGATATATTTTGACACATGGCTCATCAAAGATAACTGAATGTTTTATTCAGCCATTACTGGGAAAGGAATAGTATATTTAACTCGAATTTGTTTTAGTGACTAGCACGTTGCTCATGTGGTGTATGCATAGTTTGCAGAGCAGTGTACTAACAAATAGTGGAGTGATAAATCTGTAAACCTCAAAAAAGAGCTCCCAGATATTATTTGGGATAATAAAATTATACACTGCTGCAGTGAAAAGTGAAAAACCTCATATAAGGTAATGTTACAGGCCTTCCTTTGGTAACTGGAGCAACTAAGTAGAACAATCAGTTGATACTGAAGTGTATACAGAGGATTTTAAAGAACCATAGAAGTGCTTGTTTAAAGACCACTGTAGGTCATCTGGTCCAGCATCACACCTGAAGAACTAGTGCACTTTTAGATAGGGCAGCCATGTTTCAGTTTATCCAAGTCCTGAACATCTATGAGATCAAATATTTGTTCTCAACTCAATGCCTCTTTTCTCTTTTCTGGAAATACTTTCTTATTTCCTGTTTTAGAATGTAAGGATAAATTGGTTAAACTCTTCTGAGATATCACTGATGTAGGTACTATGTGATAATGGGGGGACACAGATTTATTGCTATGATTACATTATTATAGTTTGTTTTCATTTAGAGCTGGTAAGATGATATATCCACCATGTGGAGATGGAAAAATCAATTCAAAACTATGCATTTTTTACATCCTTTCCTTCGAGAATTTTATTATCTCCAAGACCATCTGAATTTTAGAAATAACTTTTCCATTGTACCGTATAATAATAATGAGAGACCTTTCCAGGTGATGAAGAGAACATTCTTTCTCGGCTACTATGAAGAGACCCACAAATTTTAGAAGTAACTCTTCCATTGTACCGTATAATAATGAGAGACCTTTCCAGGTGATGAAGAGAACATTCTTTCTCGGCTACTATGAAGAGACCCACAAAATGAATTCTCCAAGCCCTAGCCTGAAGGCCATGCCTAAGAGGATGTCAGCCTTATTTCTGTCTTGTGCAAGTCACATAATTGCTTTTGTTCATGTGCTTGTGATCTCATATACCGAGTTTAAAGGGTGCAAGAGCTATAACAGGTGCCCTGAGTTAGTGCCTGTTACTTGGCTTAAACTGTTGAGTGTTTTCCTAATGCGCCATGAAACTGAAACTCCTTCTCCATACTGTGTTTTGTATTTTCCCTGGGCACTTCTCTCCGTTGTCCAAAACGTTCTTTTTGTTGCCAAAAAGCCTTGACTGAGTGTCACATAATGAACCTAGTAAAATGCAGCATAAATGTCTAACTGTTCAGTTTTTTTGTTGCTATGATTTGAAGAGCTTCTCTGACCACTTGCTGCATTTCAGGCTGAGACAGCTGCTGATTTGCCCTTGTCAGGCTGAATGCCCATCCCACAGAGAGAGGCTCTGTAAGCTGTAGGGGTGTTTTTCAAAGGTGAGGGATCAAAGCGCGACAGCTGCATTCTGCTCTGAGCGGAGCAGATCTGGTTGTCCCTGTCTCTTGTGACTAGGCGTTTGCGAGCAGTTCCTGAACAACAGCGTGTGCGTGTCTCTGCCTGTGGCTTTAATAGCATAATGCAAATGCCGTACTGCTCTTGGGCTCTGTTTAAGTTCTCAGTTCCTTCCTTTGGGAGAGAGGATGAGTGGTTGGCACTTTCCAGGAATGCAATAGGCATTGTGGGGACAGTTGATAACCATGTGCCTGAAGCTGTTAACAAGCACAAGAGACTTTCATCTGGTAGAGAAATGAAGTGAGAACAGTGTGAGTAAGACCTGGTATGTGAGCACTGCCTGCTGTGTCTGCCCAAGCAGCATGAACCTTCCAGCTTCTGCTCCGCCGGAATGCCCAACAGAATGGACTCAGTGGTCTAAATGTTTGTCATCTTAATCCTGCTTGCTGTATATGCATAACAACCAGCTTTGCAGGATCGCAACAGACACATTAAAATAAGTCAACAGCCTTCCCTCTCTGTCTCAAGAGACCCTAACTTTTACCTAAGACAGACAAACAAAACAAAACCCACAACAGACCTTCACTGCGTTTAAGAAGGCCAAGAGATTCTATAAAGCATAGCAAACTCATCACAGTACGCATCTAATTAGTCTGGGCAATGATTAGATATTACTGTCAAGTGTTCAGAAAACCAAAGCTAACAGCAGTCAGTAGTATCCTGAACAACAGTAAACCCTGAACAACAAATTCTAGAGACACTATAAGATATATATACTTAATTTGTTTTCTGCCACATTGTCCCCTTTTGGTTCTTTGTGTTTGACATAGGGGAAGAGGATCGATCTTTTCCTTAAAACAATTATGTCGGATGCCTTCTCCCTTTTTTCCTGACAACTTTTGTCTGCAAACACTGTTTCTAGAAAGTCTCATGGAGGAAAAGTCTCATGATTTTATGTTGTTGGAGATTTTTTTCTCCCTTTTTCTTTTCCCTTACCATTTCACAGTAGCTCCTTCCTCAGACACTTCACACTCAAACTCTACTCTCTCTCCAACCATCACCATCTGGTCCTCTAGTGGGTGAGTGATCAGGATTGGAGGCTCTGGAAATCAAAATACTTTTATTAAAACAATATTCTGAAAGGCTGAAGACCAGAGGTAGATTTTGCCACTCTGCACTCCACAGGCAGAACCCCTGGCCAAATACATGATGATGTTCTCTTTGTTGGAACTTAAATTTACTATACTGGGTCACATTATCAAATGACTTTTTGGTTTTTGCTTCATGAGACAGAATGTAAACACAGGATTAATCAGTTTTCACATATATTCTGAAATTCCAGACCAGAGGCATTAATTTTCTCTACTATTTGATCTGCTTGTAGAGCTTGAGGCATGTGTTTATCTTGAGCAGAATCAATTTTTTAGTAAGTTTCTAGCCCTATTGGGAAGTTGTCAATCACTTCCCAAATGAGAATTAATGGTAACTATTATTGTGCTGGTTTTCCTGCTTTCTTAATTGCAACTGTAAGGAAAATCTTCTTTTGTTTTACTGTGGGGAAAAATGTTTGCTTTAACAGAGGTCAGAATTTGTTCAAATATTTGAGAATTTCCTTTTCTATGAGACTAATTAATCTGAAAGTAGAGAAGGTGACAGTAATTCAATGCTAAATGTTAGGGGAGAGCTCTTTGCTTTTGATATCATTGCTTACCTTTTACAAATAATTCTGTGAAGCTCTTCTCCTCCCCTACCACACATTCGTAAGCTGCATCGTCAGCCAGAGAGCAGTGGTTTATGGTCAGTATTCTTTTATTCCCAACAGCCTCAAAAATATACCTGAATAGAGAATCCAAATGTAATTATCATAGAGTAACTCTTTTGGACCCCTGCTTGGCAGAGAAAATTGTTTCTACTTTTTTTTCCAACATCAATAGCAAGATTTGTTAAGACTCAATCCCTGTATAGGGCCCTGTCTCAGTGAGGGCAGTATCATATGAAATTATGGGGAAACCTTCAGACCAGTGTGAGACGTACAAACTCCTATGGATGGTGCTATGTGCTTTTCTAGCAGTAGCCATAAAACAAACCCCACTGCCGTTAAAAATGCCTTGTCATGGCTTCAGCACAAAATCACTGGTGATTTCTTTTAGCTGCCATTAAAAATGCCTTGTCATGGCTTCAGCACAAAATCACTGGTGATTTCTTTTAGAAACAAGCTACACTGAAGTATATCCCATACCACAAAGAAGTAATTTTGAACCCTGGATATACACATAAAGATCAGAATATAATCGGAGGACGTACTTGCTGAGTAGGTAGATGTAAGCATCCAGTTCCACATGTAGATACGTAGAGCAGAGGGAAGAAAAAGAAAGTCATGAGAAAAACAAACTGACTCTTAGCCTATGTAAATCCTTTCTCAGCATCTGTTTATCCCTGCTTTATTTCTTTCTTTTTAAAAATTAGTTTTCCCACTTTGTCAAAGCTGTAGCCCATTCCTTTCTGGTGTTTCCCATATTTCTAGCTTACCTGCCGCTCACTTGGATCTCCTGTCCGTTCTTCAGCCATTTCACATCAGCATCTGGATTGGCAACTTCAACCATTAATTTAATCTTTTGCCCTTTGTCCACTTGGTAAGCTGGATCCAGTTTCTTGAGGAATGCTTATGATTAAGATTATTTTTAAAAAAATAAAAAAAAGATAATATCTTAATTTTTATACGTGACTATTTTTTACATTTGCTGTCAGAAAAGTAAATCTTTATTCCCTTCTTTACCATCATCTTAAACCTTCCCCACTTACTGCATCCCTGTTTGCATTTTTGTATTTTCTATGTGTCCTTCATCCTGTTCTGTTTCCTGCTATTCCTTAAGAGAGGATGAAATGCATGTGATATAAACTAAGCAAACTACAGTATTCTAAATCAGATATAAATACACACTTTAACGCATCCTAAATAGCTATACCTCTGTCTGTCCATGTAAGAAAATGATGCTCATCTTCTCAGTACTAAGGAATGGCAGCTTGCCTTTTGTGTTAAAGACTTTTGAAACAAATTCATTAAAAATGGGTAATTAATACTTCACAAAACTAGAAAAGGCTCAGAAATTCCAACTTTGTTATCCCAATGGAAATAAAATTCTTTAAAAGTATCAATGATGCCTTACATACTGACCGATTTTGGGGAAGGGAAAAAAGAGCGTTGTTCAGGGAAAGATAAGGGGCAGTGCGGAAGAAACTAGTAAAATGAATGGGTTCAGAATATTCAGAATTTCAGAGCAAGGTATCTCAAAGCTTTGGGCATAGCTTTAATCTTTAGTAATCAGCATTTCACATGTAAAGACCTGTGACAGCTGGAGCAGGAAGCTGGTATTTCTCCTGCTCTTTTACTTGACTGCTGTCCAGTTGATGTTTGGAATACTCCTCAAGAAGAAGGAATGGACACTTATATTTGGAATAAATACAGCTCACCAACCTGTACTTTTTTTCTCTTCCTTCTTTATGCGTTTAAGGCGTTTTAGCATCCCACGCAAATCTGTGATACCATACTGAAAAGCAATTTTCTCATATTCAGAAGGAGGAGCTTTCCTCAGGATTTCCCAGACATCAACATCAGATTGTGATTCAGATTTTGCTTCACCTCTGCAGAGGAAAAGGGTTAGAGTATCTGAATGCTACTATTGAGAGAATTCAAAAACAGTCATAGGCTTGGCAAGCTACATATTATCTTGATGAAGCCATTTCTTAATAAAGAATTTAGCAGTTGAAATTTTTTCTATGTTATTACCTAAAGCAATGCGATAAAAGTGATGACTGGTTTACTTCTGTTTATGTACACAGTTATTAAAATCTTGTCACTGTCTTGGAGGCTTTGCTTTCTAACAGACAAAGCAAACATTACCTTCCCATTAATGACAGGTAATAGAAACGTGAGCAGACTTATTTTGCAGTGATGGTCATACACAAAATGTGTGGCAAAGCACAGAACTGAACTGATATCCTGAGAATGCCTTAGAAACGAGGCAGTTGCTTTATGTTCATAAGAAATAAGTCCTTTTTTTCTATTCAAGGTGGTTTTTCTCTTCACTAAAATGAATCAGATTATAAAAATACTTTTCATCTGTTGTAAAGACAATTGTTGGCTATAGTAATCTACAAAACATAGACATGGAGACTGGTCAGTAGTGACAAACAAGACAATATTTACAATGAACTATAGAGTTTAAAGAGCTAGTGATTGTGGAAGGACTAATATTTGGTTTAACAAAGCCGCATGAAAATTTTTGTCTGGCTTTGTGAAAGGAATTCCTTTTCTATCATCATATTTTTTATTTAAAAGGTTGTAAATAGAAAAAGAAATAGGCATAACCTTACCGATTTGTCGAGCGCAAGAAGCTGCTGTACTCCAGAATGATGCAGAGAACCATTTGGAAAAACATGCAGCATCCCAATGGGCAAGAAGAAGAGAGTGTTGTATATTAATACAAAAGCACCATGAATGGCATCTTCACCTTTAGCAGAACAAGCCTGTGTGCTTCAGCAGCAGGGTGATGGAGGAACTCATGCAAAAGCTCTGAAACAGGCTTGAGAAAAATGCTATTCTCTATTGAAACCCAACTCACTCCCACACTTTGTACAGTTCCACTCTGTGATGTGTAACCTAAGTGTAAGCACTTCTGCTTATTCCTAATTATACCTGATGGCCTTGCAGGGAAACAAACAGCTCTACTTTACGCAGTTGTCGTAGTTTGCATCTTGGTAAACAGAAAAAGGAAGAAAAGTAACATTTTCATTAAAATTTCTGAGGAAAAGTAATTACTTGCGGCTGTTGTTTCTGATATGATCCGGACCAAACAGATCCCAGTGCAGCAAAACACACCCTTACATTGAAGCCATGTTCAGTAGTAAACCCCAACAAGAAAACAAGTTATGCAGCAAGTAATGCAGAGAAAAGTGGAGGACTATCAAACATATTTCAACTTTTCTTCAGGAAAAGAACAGTCCTGCTACTCTGTGGGAAGTATTACTACTTAAAAACATGTGACTGTAGTCAGTCTAGATAGCAGGTATCATAAAACATTTCTGCTACTCCTTTTATTCCTCGGAAAAGGCTTGCTTGTAATGAGAGTGCTATGTTTATTAAAGTGCTGCAGTCTAGATTTGGGATTTCCAGCAGCTCTTGGACAAAAAGGAATTAAGAGGAGAGGATTTCAGGTCGGTGAGTTTGAGTGATATCTTATATCTTTAGAATGGTTTAGCACTCACTAAACCCTCGGCAGCACTCACTGGTTTGATGGGTGTATCTGAAGATCAGACTCCTTGTGATAAATGCAGCCTGCTGCGCGTTTGCTTTGTTACAACAGTGCATCAATACCACCCGCAAATTTAATCAGGATTCCTCTTTTCTACATAGCTATCATTTAGTTTGGGGCAGCTACAAATGGGTTGTAGTTTTGCCCAGCAGAAGACAGGACAGTTGAACTGATTTGCTAAATAAAGCAAGATTATTTTTTTTAACAGTAGCAGTTTTCGACTTAGGTCGTCCTAATCATATCAATGAGCAGCTATAAAATATTTTGAAATACATATAAATTCATATATATA